GTTTGTATTTTATGCCTCAGTGAAGGAGAATCAGCAGATCACATCTTCCTTCATTGCAATTTCACCCAAAAGATTTGGTTCCATTTTCTGAAAATGGCAGGCTACAGTTGGACTATACCAAAGGATGTTAAGGACCTTCTACATCAGTGGCAAGGAACAGGGTTAAGTAAGAGGGGTAAAACTTACTGGCAATCAGTGTTACATGCAGTGCTGTGGGGTGTTTGGGATGAAAGAAACAAAAGGCTTTTTGACAACAAACCAAGGTCCCTGGAGGAGTTGATTTCAGACATTTCTTACCTATGCAACCTATGGACGGTGAATTCAGATCTGTTCAAAGGAGTCTCAGTCAATGACCTCAATAGAGATGTTTTCCCCTTTCTATTTCTCCCTCACCTCCATCAACCACCCTTGAGATTTCCTGAACCCATCAGTGAAGGGGTGATGATCTTAAACTTTGATGGCAGTGCTCTAGGTAATCCCAGATTAGCTGGTATTTGAGGAACATTAAGGGATGAAAGGGGAAACATCTCTTGGACTTTCAGCGGCCCAATTGGCGTGGCAGATTCCAAAAAGGCTGAAGTTATGGCTGCTCTCACAGGAATCAAAATAATAAAAATTTGGGAATTCAAAATGTAACCATTGCAGGTGATTCAGCCAATACTATAAAATGGTTAAGAGACAAAGAGGGAGGGCCTTGGAGATTAAGTCACTGTCTTGAAGAGGCCAGGGACAATTTGGACTGCCTAAATGTAAAGTTAGTTTGGATTCCAAGGGAATACAATCATACAGCAGATGGCTTAGCTAAATGTGGAGTGTTCTTAGAGCAACTTTATAGCGACAAGCTTCCTCCTTCGTAATTTACAGGGGTTCTTCCCCTGCTTTGTACATCTTCCCATGTACCTCTTTTTTATTAATGAATCTTGGTTAACTTTTCTCAAAAAAAAATAAATAAATAAATAAATTCACATTTTACTTGATAAAATATACATGTATGCATTCTGTTTCTGAAGAACCTTATGGTTCTTCTGCATGTATTTTATGTATGATGGCTTGAAGCATTCCTGTATAGAGGGCAATCACATAGTCAATGTCTTTTCCTTCTCAAAAGCCTATGGGGTGATGGGATGGTGAGTTGGATATGTAAGAATATCTTTTGTTTTTAGCAATGAGAAATGGGCCTTTTGTTATCACAAATTTAGGAGAACAAGTTGAGCTATCTTTTTAACAGAAAAGAAAGTCTACAACTATCCAGTTGGGTGAATGTTGGTCAGCCCTAGAGATACAAGCCATTTATCCCCAGAATGGGGGCCATATGCAAGGATCAAAATATTGATACAGACCGATACACCCCAACCGGTGTATCGGCCTGTATCTTCGCTTGCTTTTTTTTTTAGTTTTTTTAATCTGGTTCAGAGGGGTCGGTTTAAGGCCTGTCTACCCCCTGAACCAGGTCATACCCTGAAACACCCCCTGTAGAGGTGTACCAATGGTCTCATGATACGATATGTATAGGCTGATATGACCCGATACGTATTGAGAATTTGATCCTTGGCCATATGTATTGCCATGCCCCTTATAGATCTTCTTTCTAAATGACTTCCTGTCTATTTCCCAATAAATATCCTAACTGATATTGTGCCAAAGAAGTGCCTGGCAATATTTTGAAAAAGTGTGGGTAGCTTACCCTGGAGGTGTTCATCCATGCAAAAAGTGTCAACAAAATGCCCAGAGGCATACATATGAGGCATATCCCTCTTGTATATAGGTACATAGCAAAGCATGCACCTTGTATAAGGTGTGACCTACCGTGCCTCTATATGAGAGGCATGCATCTCATACATGTCACCCTTTTAACATAATTTTATGGATTCATGTCATGCTTAATTATCAGCTTTATTTTTGAATGATGGTTATATTATTGGAGATTGCAACTATATTTTTTAGTTTTCTTTACATCCATATTTTCTATTGATTTTATTTCTTTTTTGAAATTCATAAAACATATACGCTTGGGAGGCTAATGCCCCTTCTGTTCCACCAGTTTATGCCTCATGGCTCAGGACATTGGTATCTGTCCTGGCAAAAGATGGGTGCCAAGTTACACATGTGAACCAGCATTTTGTCTGTAGAGCTGGAGAAGGAAATGAGTAAAGTAATAGTAAAAATTGAAAAAAATAAAAGATGGAACAATTTTGGTAAGTTGTGAGTCCTAATGCAAAACTTGTGACACTGAATGAAGAAAAAATGCACCTCCAGTATCACATCCTCTATACCTGCAAAAATGTCTCTATACCTTCTTTATAATATAATCAATAATAACTGATTTGGTGGCTATGGTGTTTACTGATAAGTGATAATGTGCATTATTGCAGATAGCATATCTATCCGAGGTGGGGGGGGGGATCTTGGAGCTCAACTCCTCAAAGTCCAGGACGATATACCTATTTGTGCTTCTATAATCTCTCAGCGTCTAGCTCTTTACTCATTGGAAGTTGGGGCTGAATGGGTCAGAGATGGGGTGAAGGACCTTGCGAAGAACCATGGTTTTTAAAAACGAACTGGTGATCGAACCAGTCAGGGGTCCGGTTACCGGTTCGAACGGTCTGGCCGTTCTGACAAAAAAATAAAAAAATTGGAAAACAGTCGAGACCGTTCGAACGGTTCAAACGGTTTGAACAGTTCACCAGCCGGTTCAGCAGTTTGCTGACCAAAATCAACGGTTTTAGGGGAAAAAGCGGTTTTGGAGGAAAACGGAACCGGTCAGGTGACTGGTTCCCGGTTTTGAAAACAGTGCGAAGAACAGACCTTTCCTCTTGGATGCACTCTCACCCCTTGGAAAGGACTCTGTGAAAGGCAGGGAAGGTGCAATCTACCTCTGGGAAAAGCTTCCTCAGAAATATCTGGATGATTTTGATGTGGCAGTGGTACACTGGCTGGCACATAGGTATGACATTGTTGTAATCCTTGGGGCTCCATGTGGTGGACCAGGTTATATTCGGATTTCCTTTGGGGGGTTGCCGGAGGTTGATTGTGAAGTTGCTGCAGGAAGGCTCTGCAGGGGGTTAGAAGAGCTGATGAGAGATGAGATGGTGCAGTGACTGTGAACTACCACCATTTAAAATAAAATATCCAGATTATTGGCTAGTCATACACACCTGTGGAATATTTTATTCTTGAAGAGTTGAATAATGGCCTTCTGTGCCCTTTCGGAGCAGTCTGGACTCAGGAGAATGACTCCTGACTGATAAAATGTTAATTCAGAAAGTCAATTCTATTTAGTTGGGACAAGGCTTAGATGATTATGATGATGATCTTCCAAAGTTTCAAGAACAACTCGTAAACAGATATGACTGACTCCATTTCCAGTTTTGGTTTCTGAGGAATTGGCTTATCAAATGTGGTAGAGTGACATGTTAAAATGGTTATTGTGCCACAATTAGGAAGCAGATTTGGCCAATTGATTCCTTTCACCACACTTTCCAATTTATTGTATCAAAGGTGCTCTTTGAAATTGCACTTGGTATTTATTATATCAAATGGCGATTCATGATTGTTTTCCATCCTATGGAAGTGCGTATAAGTAGGGGTGGCAATTGGGCGGGTTGGGTTGGGTTTGGTTTGGATTGAGTTTCAACCCAATCCATCTAATCCGCCAACCCATTAATGACCCAGTTATATAAAATTAAATGGGTTGGGTTCAACCCAATCCAACCTGCCCAAACCCATTAATCTTATATTTATGGACTTGAAAACAAGCTCTCTCTCTCTCTCTCAACAAATAAGTTAGTTGTAGCTTGATGGTTATTGTAGTTATTATTTACATAAGTGGTGAAGGTTCAAATGAATCAAATCACATTACATGCATGTTATTTTTACACAAGCGACGAAGCCATTTGATTATGTTCGGATTTCGGGTTTGATCGAACCACTTAGGTTCAAACCGGTCACACCAACTTAAACAACTTAGGTTCAAGGGTGATTGAACCGTTTAGATCTGGATCAATCCAGTCAGACTAGACCGGACCGGTTCAGTCAATGGTGGATTGACTTGGACCGAACCATATCATGTTTGGGTCGGGTTGTGAGGATATTTGTCGGATGGACGATCTAGATCGGGCAAAGCATGCAAAGGCTGAATCATCCCACCCAAAACCGTTTCTGATTCGGGTCGACCCGGATCGACTTGTACCGGGTCGGGTCGAAGTGTGTGGATATTGGTTGGCCTTGATAGCCCAAATCGGACAGAGCAAGTGGCATTGAGCCATCTTGCCCGAGGTCTATTTCGAATTTGGGTCGACCCGGATCAACTTGTACCAAGTCGGATCAGTGTATGAATATTGGTTGGACCGGACGACCCAAATCAGATAGAGCAAGCGGCATTGAACCATACTGCCCGAGGTCTATTTCGGATTCGGGTCAACCCGGATCGACTTGTACCAGGTCGGGTCGGAGTGTGAAATATTGGTTGGACCGGACGACCCAAATTGGGCAGAGCAAGTGGCATCGAACCATCCCGCCTGGGGTCTTTCGGATTTTGGTTGACTCGGATCAATATACGCTGGATTAGGTCAAACCGCGTTGAACTGATCCGGACTTGGGTCAAATTGATTTGGATTTATGTTGGGTGAAGTGTATTGATTCAAGACAAAACTAAATTTAATCAATTATTAATAGAAAATTAATGCATTAATTATAAATTATTTAATTCAAATGAAGAAAAAAAAACTAAGGAATTAATACTTATGTCTATAATGGTTATCCACAACCCAATCCAACCCATTTAAATGGGTGGGTTGGGTGATGGGTTGATCACACAACCCACCAAGTAAATGGGCGAATTGGGTGGATTGGATGGGTTCAGCGGGTTGGGTTAAAAATTGCCACCCCTACGTATAACGTATGCTAGAAAATAGTTCTATCTCCTACACTTGCGCCTTTATGCTAAGGTGTAAACCAACCAGTAAAAAATTCATGGAGGGGAGTTGATTGGTGAAAGTTATCTCAGTATCATATCCATCAGCTCTCACGTTGGAGAATTTGATTAATCAAAACCCTTTTTAGTGAACTTTGATGAATTTTCATTGGTTAGTGTATGTGTTAATATAAGGTGTATGAGCATGGTAGAACCGGACTAGCTAGACAATAGGCTGCACATTGTAAAATTCAAATGGAGGCAACTAGACTCACAGAAGTGTCTAGTATCAACGCTTTTTTTTTCCTTCTCTCTCTCAATTTTCCACTAAGCAACAATCAATAGTACAACACTCTTTTTTCCTTCAGTGTTTGCTATCAGCTCCCTCCTCCATCATTTCTTCCACTGTGGCAACCTTTGGACCACCACCTGAATCAATTATAAATAATGGATGGGGATCAGTTAGGATAAAAAAAAAGGTAAAGAGAAACACATGGGAATTTGCTGGATTTAGGCTTGTAGTCACAACCTCTCTTTATTTTTGTCCATTCTTTATGAGCATGACGTGTACAAGAATTCCTTACATGTTTGGAGGGAAGATTTAAAATATATGAATTTCTCTCTCTAGGAAAATTGTCTTTATTTATTTTTTTTTTGTATTTTCCCTTGGCATAGCCTCTTGAAGCATGTGAAAATACCTTATCCCAAGAGTCCAGCTTATAACTTGCTATTGTTATAGGTGGAGACCCATTGGAGGAGAATGCATTATACAATATCCATTTATCTTCTATATTTACAACAACATTTGGACTTTTCTTGAAGTTTTTCCTATCTCCTGCTTGTTCTATGCAAATCTTCAGTCTAGGGATCCATGTTTATGGCATTTGATCATTCATGAGAGGTACATTCTAGGGGTGAGCACTATTCGGTTAAAACCAAAAATTTTGGTTTTGATTTGTTTGGTTTGGTCTTTTTGGTTTTTGGTTAAATCGGTTCGATTAATTTGGTTTTTGGTTTCGGTTTTTAGAATTAGAAATTTGGTTAACTGAATTAACCAAATTTTCTATTATTATATGTAATATGTAGTATATAATATATTTATATATTAATATATAATATAATAAAATTTGATTTCATAATATATATTTTATAATATAGTATATCATATGTTGTAATTTATATAATAAAGTATATATTATTAAAGTTCGGTTTTAACCGAAAATTTTGATTTCAGTTATTTTGGTTTTCTTATAATTTGGTTTCGGTTTGACTTTAATTTTTTTTTTAGTTTGGGTTTTTAAAATTTCAGTTTATTCAATTTGGTTTTTAACCAAATAAATCGAATGCTCACCCCTAGTACATTCTTGCGCATCATTTCTCAAGATGTACATTATTGACCATATCACCCCTTAATGTATCATGATGTACAGTTTTATTCTTCTCCTTTGCCTTAAAAACTATAAAAAGGGTATCTTTTTTTGGTCTAAAAAAGGGGTATCCTCATTTCGGATATCTTAGGTAATAAGACCTTTTCCTTGGGAGTTATAAGATTTCGTCCTTCCCCCTAAAGAGAGGAAGAGAAAAACAGTTTAGAGCATCTGGTATTGGAAGTGGGTTAAGAATCTTCCCCTTTTGATGTGTAAGAGAGAAAGTGAGGAAGAGAAAAATGTTTAGGGTATATGTCCTCATAAGCAGGTATTTTTGCTTTTAAAAAAGATTGTAAGAAAGAGTGTCATCCCCTAGCTCCACCAAAATTGTAAGAAAGAGAAGTATCACCCCTTAGTTCTAACAAATGGTGGAATAAACCCTGAACCTTGGAATTCCCCTTGTTTAAAAGTTGTGTTAAGTTCTACGCTAACCATTCATCAAAATTCACGGGGGTGGTTTACTAGGCGTGATACATGTTCCTCTAGCTCCCCTGGTTCAGACAAGCAATTTCTTGGACCAATATGGTGGGGTAATTGCATTTTGGAGTTTTGGGTATTGAACATGTTCTTGACCCATTAAGTTTGGTTGGAGAGATAAATAAATCCAAGGTATGTGAGGCAACTACTACGTTCCGATAACCTTCTAAAGAGAGAACTAGCACTATGTTCTTATAAAGGTGATCAATGGTCTGTTGCATCTATCCTCAGATGAGTAAATGATTTATGAAGTACATACCTTGCCAGAATTTTCCTTGTTGCCCACAATAGTTTGACAAGCCAGTCTCCAAGATTCCGGTTTCTGTAAGGTTAATGACATAATTTATATTAATCAGAGATTGGATGCAAGGAATCCAATGAGGAATTGACAACAAATGTTTCACTGTTTATACAAATGCATGGAGACTTGTAGACAAATGCATATATAAGAAGTATACTTAACATGCCTTTTTGAGGTACCGGAGCTCGGTGTTTGTTCTTTCATTCAGTAGATCCTTCCCATCAACAATCTGCACAAAGCAAATGCATACATTATCCAGGTATTGTCTTAGTAAGCTTTAAATGACTCCAATAGTTGATCTTGATAAATTCAACACAAAACCAGTAAAATTTGCTTAACGAATGGGTTGGCCTCTGAGTTAGAGTTTAGATAGACAAGTTCTGCAGTGATGAAAGCAGAAGGCAGAAGCATCTGTGGTTTGGCTTAATAAGAATTAGAAAATGAAATAACCACTTGAGAAGAGAAGACACATATCCTAAAATCATACCTCCACGATGCAGGTTCCACAGCTTCCACCTCCTCCACAATTCATCACCTTTCCCTGTTAGGAAGAAAAAGAGTGCATTAGTGAACCACTACATTTTCAGAACTTCTATGGAGATCTTATTATCCCGGCCCCAAAAAAAAAAAAAAAAAAACAGAAAGTAAAACCTTGCTGAAAAAACCAGAAAGTCTCTGCCTCTCTCTCTCTCTGGACTTACATACGCGGCGTAGAGCTCTATCTTGTTATCCAACATGATGTTCCTGAGAAGCTTCTCTCCACTAATAGCCGTCGCTCTGTCCACCGGATACGGTCCATCAGCTCCTGGTTTTGGCTGTGCACCGCCGAAGAAATTGAAGAAAGGAGAAACCTCAAAAACCGAGAAGCATGAAATAGGAACTCGGACGACACAACAGATGAGAAGAAATAAAAAAGAAAAAGAAATGACTCTACAGAGATGGATACCCCTATGAACTCGAGCTCGATCTCGGGTTTCTCAGGCGCTGCTTGTGCTGATTCCGACGGAATTGCAGCGCAAGAAACTGAGACTGATTTCTTTACGGAAGTGAAGGTGATGGACTTTCTGAAGTTCCGATGACTGCTGGAGATTTCGCGCCGTCTGAAGGAGGGAACAGAGACCAAATGCACCGAAGAAGCCATTTCCTAATTTCCTTCTCTTCTCTCGTTTTTAGTATTTCATTTTCTGGTGGAGCAATGGCACTCTCTAGAGATGGTCCCAACTCCTAATTCCGATTGCGTGGCTGATTATGGACCTTGATCTGGGCAGGTGGGACCCAAAACCTCCCACAATAAACCACGCCACGTGGAGTTTTCACCATCATATACGATCTTTCGAGATAATCTCCTCGTAGCTACAACTGAGATTCAATCTAGATCGTTTTATGCGAATCTTCATCTGCGCATCTCAAATGAAACAGTTAAAAATTGCAAGTTTTATGGAGCACAGCATACTGAATCAAGACTTCCAAAGAAGAAGTAAAATAAGAAAGATTGAAGGGCAATTTGGTAACTATAAAGGGCAAACTTGTGTATGTCGCCAGTCGGTCGTTTAGACGTCACCGTCGTTTCTGCTGCAGCAGCAGCAGCAGCAGGAGAGAGAGCGAGCGGGAGGTAGAAGCTCTCTCCTTGATTCTTCACGTAGACGATTTTCTTGGCAGCCATTTCAAATAACCAATCCCTCCTAAAAAGTACGACTGTACGAGTTAGAACTTAAAGAAAGGAAAACTGCGGCGAGCTCTTCGTTTCTCAAGCCCTATTTTTTCGAAATAAGCTCTGGATTTTTGGAATCGCTTACTTGATTAGAACCTTAGAGTTGGATGATGGTGGGAACTCTTGCGGGCTTGCAGGATCATCTGAAATTGGCGAAGGAATACGCCCTTGAAGGCCTCTATGATGCAGCGATTATCTTCTTTGATGGCGCCATTGCTCATCTCAACAAGTAATTCCGTCCATTTCCAATTCCTCTATCTTTCTCCTCTTTGGTCCTATCCTTTTTCCCTCCTCTATGTTTTCTACATCGCTTAATAGTGTTAGCTTTTGTATTTCAGTTATTTCCTTCTCTTTATTTTTTAATCGGAAGTTTATTGTTTTAGCTACTGTTGGTTTCTTATTGCTTTAAGTGCTTTTTATATCAGAATTGAATGCCATGCTTATAATTCTCGAAATAAATGCTGAAAAAATCTTTCTTCTGAGTAGATTTTTCCTCTGATATTAACTATGGAATCTTAAGTACGTTATATATTGCTTAATTTAATGTGCTTAGCTTTCCTCGAGTTTTCCTACGTTCTTATCCGCTGATAGGGAATTAATTAAATCTTCTGGGAGGTTAATTACTTAGTGTATCTAATTTGGGGCCTGTTGTTGCTATCCTATCAAAAAAAAAGAAAGAAAGGAATGCTTTGCGGATTTCTACTAGCTAACCGAGTATGTCTGAATATTTAATAGCTTCTTCCTTTTGTGGCTGTTAAACTGGTTCATCAACCTTCTTTTTTTGCAGGCACCTAAGCACTCTTGATGACCCTTTACTCCGTGCCAAATGGATGAACGTAAAGAAAAATCTTTCCGAGGAAATAGATATTGTAAAACGGTTGGATGCAGAGAGAAGGGCCTTCAAGGAGGTTCCTGGGACCATACGCTCTTCGCCACCTCCAATACATGCTAAATCGTCATTTGTGTTCCAACCACTAGATGAGTACCCCACTTCCTCAGGTGCCCCATTGGATGATCCTGATGTTTGGAGACCACCAAGCCGAGACTCAGGAAGCAGAAGGCCTACAAGGTCTGGCCAAGTGGGTTCGAGGAAGTCAGCACAAGATGCCACTTGGGCTCGTGGTTCAACAAGGGCAGGAACGACTAGTCGTGGAGCAAAGGCTAATGCTTCAAGTAAATCCGGAGTCCGAGCATCGACTGCTTATGGACTTTCTGGGAAAAAAGGCAGTTCTTCAGGCAAATCCAACTCTAGCAAGGCAGATTCAGTGGTAAGTTCTACTCTTAATTGTTTTTGGTAAATAAGTTATACTCTTAGTTGACTTATAACATTGAGAACCAACTTTCTGCAATTTATGAGCACAATGGAAACTAAATATCCTTTTTGTTTTGAAGCAAAGATAACTTTTATTGAAGAAGAAAAGAACAGAAGTACATGAGAGGATGTACTGAAGCCAAGTGGCTTGGCAGGATTACAAAGGCAAACAACTGTCACTAAACAAGAAATCTCTAGAGACCCCTGATTTTGCTAGGATATCAGCAACAGAATTTTGCTCCCTAGGAATCCAGATGAACTTCACATTCATTGAGCCTAAGATATCCCTGGCTTCAGCTAAGAAGTGGGCTAGTCTCCAGGGCGGGCCCTCCCTTCTCCTGTAACCAAGCTATAGTATTTGCAGAATCCCCTTTAATGGTTAAGGAGGATAAACCTAGCCGTTTGGCAAGGAGGATAAATATCCTTATGGATTAACCACCATATTATACATGAACATGTTTTACAAAACTCATTTAACTCTGCATTTTATTCATCTTTAAGGCCAACCATCATTGTCTCTCTGGCCTTCACGCTTCATGTGAGATAAATCCTCATGAGCAGCTGCAGAATTCAAAGGTATTAACAATAATAAATATTAGAGGTGTTTGGTTAGTTTTATTGCTCCAAAAACTGCTCTGCACTTGTTTATGTTTTTTGTACCTGTAGCTTGCGTTGATTTTTCAGTATTTTCCTTCATGTTGCATATGGTTTTCCCCTTCATGTCATTTGAGTCATGTCTACTGATTTGTCTTTGCAATTGCTGTTAGAATGGTGATGCAGAAGATGGAAAGCCAAGAAGAGGACAGTATGAGGGACCTGATCCTGACTTAGCTGCAATGCTTGAAAGAGATGTCTTGGAGAATACTCCTGGAGTAAGATGGGATGATGTTGCGGGGTTGAGTGAAGCCAAAAGACTTTTGGAGGAAGCTGTTGTCCTTCCTATATGGATGCCTGAATACTTCCAGGTATTATAGATCCTTCAAATCTGAGCAATGTGTTAATGGGCCTCTCTATCTTGCTTGGCAGGACCCAATTCTTCATACTTTTTACCAATGTACTCATGGAACTCTTATGCATTATTCAGGATAGATCTGGTGGGTTTTCATCCTAATTACCTTTTTTTTTATAAACTCTACACTTTCAGGGCATTAGGAGACCATGGAAGGGTGTTCTTATGTTTGGCCCACCTGGCACAGGGAAGACACTTTTGGCAAAGGCAGTTGCTACCGAGTGTGGAACAACATTTTTCAATGTCTCTTCTGCCACCTTAGCCTCCAAATGGCGTGGTGAGAGTGAGCGTATGGTTCGGTGCTTGTTTGATCTTGCAAGGGCTTATGCACCAAGTACAATTTTCATTGATGAGATTGATTCTCTTTGCAATGCTAGAGGGTAAAGTGTTCATTATTTTATTTTTTATAATTTTATCTAGTGTTAGGGGCTTGAGATCTCTTTCTGTTTGCCCCTCTAACATTTTTTTTTCCTTTAGAACAAACTTCAGTGGTTTGATTTGTTATGTATATTGGTGTATACATTTACATGGTTCTCTAGTTGTCTTAAAACACTCTTTTGGTATGTACATAATTATGCTTCTTTGTCATCATTGTCATTGTTGTCTTTTTGTGGATTTGACCAAAACTGGCTAAAATTTGCTGTTCTTCTATGATTCAATTAGTAGTGTCTTTTCTGGTGGATGGGATCTCTAGTTTTGATGCTTAATTCATTGAACTTCTCTGACATCTTGATTCTTTCAGGGTTTCAGGAGAGCATGAGTCATCTAGAAGGGTGAAGTCTGAACTTCTAGTACAGGTCGATGGTGTTAACAACAGCTCCACTGGTGAAGATGGTAGTCGCAAAATAGTGATGGTCCTGGCAGCTACCAATTTTCCTTGGGATATAGATGAGGCACTTAGGTGGGATATTGTCCTTAGTGTTTAAAGATCTCCTTGAGCCCTTAAAATTTCCAATGAAATTGAATATTAACATGATTACCTAGCCTTGCAAAACAGCAACTGATTATCATCTAGATTTGTTTATAGGCATCCTGCTGTTGCTGGTATAATTTTTGGCATTAATGGAATGCAGGAGAAGGCTGGAAAAGAGAATATATATTCCTCTTCCAAATTTCGAGAGTCGTAAGGAGCTCATACGGATCAACCTAAGAACTGTTGAGGTAATCTATTTTTCTAACAGTATTTTCTCTGTAATCGTCTGCCTAGTAAGACAACTTCGTTCTTAAGATCAGACTTACTCTGTACCATATATTTATGGAAACATGTTTGGCATGTTGCCTAGTTGCATATTAGTATCGTTCAACATATGATTTGTTCTTTCGGTCCAGAACTTATTGGGAGTCATGTTTGGGAATCAGAGGACTCTCCTTACCATTTCTTTACTCACTGAGCTCATGTCTTCAAACCTGCTTAGTTATCACAAAAAAAAGGATCTGGAAATACCAGTAATTATTTCAAAAAAAAAAAAGTAGAACCAGAAGGATTACTCATCAAAAAATTATACCCATGAAATCTGATGTTGTGGTGAAGGTGAGATTATCCAGTCCTTGAATGTCTGGAGGGACTTGTTCCTTGGGTTGTTAACAATGATTTTCCAAATTATAACATGTTTTTGAGAAAAAACGCTTAGATTTGGCTAATGATTAGGGAAAAAACATGTTTTGTGATGGTGGAACCCAAAGGCAACTTCAGAAGCCAGAGGTACTTCTTCTGCCCCACCCACCACTGTTTAAGTATATATGCCTTCATCTGTTGCAATTTTACAATTGGCATATTTAAGTCAGTCCTTATGACCATCAATTTTATAACTAAATTTGTGTTTTTTATTCTTAGATCCTAGTTTTTGTTAAGTTCTTTTTTTTCTTTTTCTTTTAAGCAAGCATCCAAATTTCTAGTACAAGAAAGAAAATTTGAGACTTTTCTACAAGGAAATACTTATTTGATCATTAATAGATCTGTAAACCTTTATTAAAATCATGGAAGTGAGAGTAGAAGGTGCAGGAGAAAAGGTTATTTGACTTCATTAAGCATGCACAATAGAGCAAACTGGTTTGCACCACCCCATAGAAAATACTTTAAGCCATTTACCAAGGTTTAAAATGTCGGTATTGGTGGAAATTTTGGTTGTCCAAATAAAGGTAATATGTCGGAAATATTATAAAAATTATAGACTTGGTGGAAACATTGTAAAATATGCAAAAATATAAAATTGTATTTTTTGAAATGAGATAAAAGAAGCATAGGCAGACCTTTTTAAATTATTATCTTGTTCCAAATCATTAAACAAAGCCTAGAAACTAAGGCTATAGACAAAATAATACATTGTGAAGTTGTCCTGTAAACTTTAGGGTTCAAAATTACATGATATACCGAGTTCAAGCAAAACTTAAATTCATAGAAAATGCAAATGATTCTAATAGATCAACCAAATAATCTATTATACAGACAGGAACTAATATTTAACTTCATTTTGAAATGAATATTGAGCTGGATCAAATAATCATGCACATTAGGTGGGCAATAACATGCTATTCCGCATATCTATAAAATTGTCCCCAATGTATGTTAATACCATCTCTTGTACTCCACATAGTGCTAGTATGTTCATTGGGGAATATGTTGATTCCAGTAAATTCTGTGTTGCTACCCATGGAAATGGAAATATGTTGTGAAAATATTAGGAAAGGTATAGATGTTTAAAACCATGCCATTTACTCACCACTTACCCAGGAAGGCAGTCCCTCATTTAATAGGGTAATATGTGCTTGTTGTAATATTAGATGCTTAGCTAAGTTAATCCACGGTGAATCCTTTAATGCACCACCGTTTGTAATTGGGGAGACTTTTGTTCAGAAAGTTTCTTTTGCAAGTCCTTGCTGCTTGACATATGTGTCTTATTGTTTGTCACTTTAATTTGTTGACTTTGTTTTGGAATGTGTCATTCTGTTGGTGAATTCGTGCTTACTTTCTCTCTCTCTCTCTCTCTCTCTGTCTCTCTCAGGTGGCTCCAGATGTAAACATTGATGAAGTGGCACGTCGAACAGAAGGATATAGTGGAGATGATCTCACAAATGTTTGCCGAGATGCTTCCCTAAATGGAATGAGGCGCAAGATTGCAGGCAAGACACGGGATGAGATCAAGAACATGTCCAAGGACGAGATCTCAAAGGACCCAGTTGCTATGTGTGACTTTGTAGAAGCTCTAACTAAAGTTCAGCCGAGTGTATCAGCAGCTGACATTGAAAAACATGAGAAATGGTTTGCTGAGTTCGGATCAGCATAAAAACCAAGATACGCCAGATTTGGCTGTTTGCTTCTCTGTTTTTCTTGATTCTTCCAGCTTCGGTGTTGATACTCAGAATGAAAATGGGAATGTATAAATGTTGTGTATTTGCAAGTTACTGCCTTTTGTTTTTATGAAAAGAAACAGAGAAAGAAAAAAAAGGAATTTGTTTTTATGAAAAGAAACAGAGAAGAAAGAAAAGAATTATGTATTCTATGGGGTCATCCCAGGCTCAGAGAATAAGGTCATTTAGTAAAATAGCATAGCATGGTATTACTAAGCCTTTCATGGAAAATGGCATGGAACCTCATGGGTTGATTTGGCTGCAGGATGATTTATCATAGAAGCTACTGGACAATTGGGTATACTACTTACATGTGGTATACCGCTATTGATTTGGACGAGCTATGGACGGCGATAGGCACTAGGCACAGCATTATGAGCACTTGATAAATATTCTGATAATTGTATTATAAGTTGTTTTTAATCTTTTTTCAAGAGTAGGCTTGGGGTAAGGGAGTGTCAAAAAATTTTCTAAGTGCTCACTTAATGTGCCCACCATGTGTACCTGTTTACCCCAAAAAATCCATTACTCATGTTGGTCCCGAATTCAGATCTCCTATCCGTAGGGTTCTCGTGGGTAGGAGATCCAAACTCATTGGTCCCACCCATGTTGGCATAATAACAAGCAAGTGTATCGGTCTTACTGATACCCAATTGTTGGTATTGGGCCAGACCGAGATTTTACCATTACACCATGTTTGTGGAGAATTTACGAACGACTTAAACTGGCATAGAGAAGTAGATCAGATATAGATGAACCATTTCTTGAATATGATTCTAAATGGACAGTGTAATTGATGGTTGCAACATATGTTCAATCTTTCAATGTAATGATACAATGGTTTATCTTATCGAGCTCGGATCTTTTGCAAGCATGAACTCTGCACAACGGAATCCAACTGCAGATAAAAGAATATCTCCCATACCAATCATCTGCAGAGTGACGGAAGTTGTCAGCATTGTTATCAAGACTCTTGTACAGGCCATCTTGCTTGCAAATTTAGCTTTCAAGTTTCAATCAGAACGAGAGTAGTGTTAGAGGAACCCGTTAACATTCTTCCATTCAAAGTCACTCAAATAGATCTTATTTTCTTTAAGGGAAAATTCCCGATTAGTATCCTGTACTTTGAGCCTCGAACTTTAAAATGCAACAATTCACTACCCGAACTTTTAAAATGTGACAATTCAGTACCTACCGTTAATCAGATGTTCATCTGCCCTTAAGTTACATTTGAAAAAGATACAAATGCCCTTCAAGTGTCATTTAATTTTCTTTATCAACCATTTAAACGTTGACAAAAATTTAACAGTCCCAATTCCTTGCCTCTTCTATTCAAGAAAGTTGAGGTCAAGTTTGAGTGGGCATTCTGGTGACCTCAACTTTCTTAAATAGAAGAGGCAAGGATTTAAGACTGTTAACTTTTTGTCAATGTTTAGATGGTTGATAAAGAAAATTAAATGACACTTGAAGGGCATTTGTGTCTTTTTTAAATGTCACTTAACGGCTGCTTAACATCTAGTTAACACAAGTACTGGATTGTCACGTTTTGAAAATTCAGGTACTGAATTATCGCATTTTAAAGTTCCAGGACCAAAATGATACTAGGCCCAAAGTACAGGGTACTAATCGGGAATTTTCCCTTTGTTTAATTTCCCAACTCATGCTTGTCCAACTACAAATCTAAAACGAAAATGGGGTGCAGATTTTATTTTGTAGTTGCCAATTTCTATAAATCAGCAATGCAAATATGCATCACTCCCTTGGGTAGGCCCGAGTCTGGCATATCTAGCCAGGTGATAGAGACTAGCCCATCCATTGTTAGCCCAATACAAATAATGGACAAACCTATTCCAAGCAAACCCTACTTGGTGTTAAGCTGACTTTGGGCCTTTGGCCAGGCCCAAGTTCACTTTTAGGGCATGCCTGAATCTGATTTATTGCTTGCTGCTTGTCTTTTGCTCATGGCCCCAGATCAAAATCATATAAATGATGCCCTAAGTCAGCTGTTGGACCCAGCAGGTTTGGGATATGAGCCCAACTAAACTTTGGCACATGGAAGGACAGATGCTTCCCTGAATCAGATGACTTCATCTATGTCCTCCACTTGCAAGTTCCAAACAAGCAACTCTTCGGTCCTTTACCATATGAATAGATTAATAGAATAATCTTTCTTGCCCTTCCCTTTATTCATACAAAGTAAATTGGGCCGGGCTCTCTTTAATCAAATGGGCTATTTGGGTCTACCAGATTATTCCTCCATGTCATTGTAAACCGATATACGTCTGCAGTGTCTTCACACCTCCTTAATCAAAGCAAATGGGCCATTTAGGCTATATTTGGTTTGAAGGAAAAGGTAGGGAAAGGCAAGGCGGAAACCTATACAAACCTTATATTCCTTGCCTTTTTCCTTCAAACCAAACACAGCCTTAGATTTCAATGATTCTCTCATGTCATAAGAACCTCGGATAACTGCAATCTCTGGGAGCGAATGGTGATAAATTGAGCTTATAAAAACTTTCAATTGGACAGAGATTTGTTACTAGTGCCGGAAAAAAAAAATTAGGGGGTGTTTGGTATTGGGGAGAACCTATGATGCGGGAAGGATATAGTATTGAAAGAGTTCTGACCAATCAAAACTCACTCATGAATTTTGCTAAATAACATATGATTGGCTACCACATTTATGATTCTAGTTGATTGATCAAAAATATTTCAGATATCATATCTTTTTTATATCATAGTCGAACTTATGCTATTATTGTGTTGTATGTCTGCAGTGATTCTCTCTTTTGAGTGATACATCAGCACCCTTAGGTAATTAGGCTTTGCCTAACCTTAACCCTGTTTGAATGGGCTATCATGTACAAAAATTTTGTACCGACTCTTGTCTCAAGTTATGTGAAATTCACTTTAAAGGAAACACCATTTTGACATTTCTTGTTTTTCCGATTTCCTCTACATAAATAAGATACAAACGTAACAAGCATATAACACAACGATACCAAACATCCCCTTATATTTTAAGGTTGAAACCTCAACCAAAACGGTGGAATGGAGTGGTCAACATATGAACGTGATATATTGTTGTGTTTTTGTTCAAAAGAACCTCAAATTCGAGGAAATATAACTGATTAACGCTATATTTGGTTTGAAGGAAAAAGTAAGAAAAGTAAAGGAAAGGAAAACTTTTACAAACCTTATATGCATTTTTCTTCTTTTTTTTCTTTTCTTTTTTACCTTTTTCCTTCAAACCAAACATAGCTTAATTATCCCTAGGACGCCATATTAAATCAAATCATAAATGATGAGCGAATTTATTAGGTGGTGATCGATGAAGTTGAATGTTGAAATGTGAGCTCCTCCATTAATGCCACAACGCAGCAGATAAGACCCAGACGTGTGGCAAACAGCAACTGTGGCGCCCACGAGGAGGGTCACAATCCTGGCTGAGACCCAACTCAGAGAAACCGCATTCTGAAGGGGATCTTTTAATTTTGTAAGGCTCATGGTCATAACCAGACAACATCATTTAAAGAGACTGAAATGTTGGTTGGTTAGATATGTTTGACCGAAAGTGACAAAAAGGAATACCATTACACCAACACTTCATCTACAGGCATGGCAATTTCTACCTTATCCGATCCGATGGGTATTCATATATCCACGGGGCATGTTATTTTGCTTCAAGGATGGAAATACATATATCCACGGGGCATGTTATACGAATAGGTATAAGGTATGGTATTAGGCTAAACCCAGTCAATCTTTTATGACCCATATATTGGTGAAAAGTAATATAAAATTTATATATTAGGTGTTGAATTTAATAATATTTTGAATTGTATATGAAGGATAATTGATAGTTATGTATTTTTTTATATGTCTTAATCAAATAATTAAAAATTTTGTATTTGTCTATATTATTTTATTTAGGGGTGGATTCGAATTAAGCTGAGTTGAGCCGAATACTTGGCTATTCAAGCTCGGCTCGTAGGAATAGTATTAGGTTTGAGCTCGATTCGACCTAGAGACTTGAGCTCGAGCTCAGCTCGGTTCATAGGTTGTAAGTTCGAGCTCGACACGGCTCGAGCTCTACTATAAGCTAAGTTTTTTTTTTGAAAAATAAAAATTATATGTATGTATTTTTTATTTTTTAGACAAAAAAAATAAGAATTATAAAAATTAATTACTATTATACATAAAAAATAAAAATACTATTACATATAATAAAATTATTTACTATATGTATGTATGTATAATAAAAAATATTTATTTAATACTAGGCTTATGAGCTGAGCTTCACTAGGCTTGAGCTCGACTCAATTAGCAAACGAGCCTATATATCAGGCTCGAATTTGGCTCGAAACTTGGTTTAAACCGAGCCAATCTCGAATAGCTTGTGAAAGGCTCGACTTGTGGCCACCCCTAATTTTACTTATTAATTGCTTATACATAATAAGAAATAATAGGAAATTAGATAGGCTCTAAACCCAACCGCCCCTACCCTTAAATGTGGAGAGGTAGGGTCGATGAGGGTTTTGCATTTTCATGTGTGATGAGGGTTTGGATTTTCAAAACCTTACCCGTTATGGGTTTTGGGGCGAGTACGGGTTGGGAGGTTTAGGGAGATGGGTAAGATCTAGAATTTACAAAACCCTCATCGAATCCACCCCGTTGCCATCCCTACTAAATAAGCATATTAGGGTGCATCTATACTAGAATGACCTTTAGACGAGCCCAGATTTACTGCATAGGATGTTGTGTAACCAATCACAGGTGAATATACCAATGTTCTGTATATATCAATGTGGATCCTAATGTATGACATACTGCCCTATTATCATAATTAATCATTTAAGATCCATTTGGTTCGCAATTAGGCCCCGTTTGATTTTCGGTAAGTTACTTACTTGGGTAAGTGTTTCCTTGGAAAGACTTATCCGAGTATGCACATTTACCCATGTTCTTTTATTTCCTAGGTAAGTAGGGCAATGACCATTTTAGCCATAAAAATCATTATTAGAAGAAGCATTTTTGTCCCATTCAAGTGTTAATGACTTTCCCCCAATGTGGGAAAGTTATTTACCCACCTAGGAGATGGGTATCAGGAAAATAAACTTTCCTTAATCCCCACATAAATCTGAAAAAAGAATATGAGTTTCTTGGTCAACGAGAATCAAAATCCCATTGACCAACTTTCCTCCCTCTCAAAATCC